AAGCTCATCTATTAGAACCCAGATTTCCAGGGAGCAGAGTCCAGGGTTCTAGTGGGAGAAAGATAAAAATTATGTCTACAATGTAGGCAGCATGTTGATGAAATGGCAAGGAATAGGTTTGGAAGCCTATAGGTGTGGGAGATGATGCAAAAGCTCATCTATTAGAGTCCCAGGACTAGTCCACAGATGCATTGGAAAGAATATGAAAATGGTGGCTGGAGTACCAGCAATATAATATAGAGATAAGAAGTAAAATAGAACTCTAGAGGGAAAATGAGGATGGTGGCTAGAATACAGAGGGTGATGTTGAAAATTCCGTTCTAATTGTTCTGTTAATATGCTCTGGAATTCTTTTATGCTTAGCATTCCTTTTTGTGGAAGAAAAATTACCTGTCCCCATACACTGATTTATAATATACATTCAGTATTTCTATTACTTTCTCCCTTTTGGGGAACTGTTATATTTGTGAGCTATAATCTAATTTGCTGAAATTAAATTTCCCCAGAGAACTGGGGGATGTAAAGAATCAGAGGGTATGAGAAAAGTGAACCCCTTACCAATAGAGGGCCAGTTTCCCTGGGACTGAATCCAGTCCAAATGACATGTCTGGGTACTAGAAAGGGAAGAATAAGTGCCCCAGACCTGGTGCATCCAGCTGAGTGGTATGAAAGTTGGACCTGTATCATCATCCCCTATGTTGTTTCATAGGAGTCAATATCACTTCATCACCACCTTCCCAATCGAGAAAACTTGAGAATAATTTAAAATTTATCACTCTACTTTATTCTGTAAAACTGACTTTCCTGTCACTTTTCCTCTCAATCATCTCCTTAGATAAATAGCAAAATCTTCCTGTCTTACTCCTGTCTTCCAATATTTCTCAGTTCTAGGCAGTCCTTACTGTTCCTATCAAATTTTTTTTTCATGTTTCATTTTTTGTGCTCCTCACTTTCTTAATACCTTAGAGTAGCTTATCATTTATATTTACCATTTAAGATCAAGATGTACACCCAGCTTGAGAGTAATTCACTAGGATGCTCTAAGTCATTTCCCTTATCTTTTTTCCTATTGCTGTACATAACTTCTTCTTTTTCCCAAATGTACATAATCATTCCATCCCCACTGTCACACCTTTTCCCAAGCCTCATATTCTTCCTATTACAATTTGATAAGCTTTTCTTCTTACCATTATACATTTTGAAATCCTGGAAAAGATATTTTAATTATCAAATTAATTTTAAATTAATTAAATTATTATAATAAATTAAGCAATTCTTAAATTAATGTTGAAATCTGACGTAGTTTAAGAAAGAAATTTATTAGGTCTTTTGGTAGAGGAAAATAAGCCATAAGGGAAGTATGGCTCCTTCTCATCCAGGATCTGAAAGGTTGACACCATATAGGATTTAGACAAGGGTGCCCACACACAACCACACACACACATAGTTAAGCAAAATTGCCTAGAGGGCGACTTGAAAGCAAGGTAGACTGAGATAGATATGAGTAACTGTAAACATCCAATAAAAATTGGGTGAGGCCAAAACATCAGGGAACCCAAAACACAAGCTTAGGTGAACCCAAAACAAGATCTGGGTGTGGGGGACCCAAAACAAGGATGCTTTGGGTGGATCTAGGCTCTGGGAAAACCCAAAATACCTCGTGGCCATCTCCAGCAGTCCTAGACAATTTACTGGAGCCTAAATACAGACAACTGTTAATCACACAGGGCTGGATTTATAGAGTATAATAATTTTTCTGAACAATATAATAAATTGTTTTTCCTATAATTCTTTGGGACATGCAACTTTCCAGACCATTTTCCAAATAATTTTTGCAAATTATTGGACACCAAGTGCTGAACTTGCAGTTAGGAAGATCTCTGAACTCTGTTTCTGACACTTACTACATGTGTGACAAGGATCATTTAACCTCTCTGAGCTTCAGTTTCCTCATCAACTGATAGTAGTATCAGAAGTACCCACTTCATAGAGTTTATGTGAGGTTCCAACAGATAATCTAAGTAAAGCAGTTTATAAACCTTGAAGTATCATGTAAATCTAAGTAAATATTATTTGTGCAAAATTTAAATACTTATCCCTATATTTGTGTATTTAATATTTATCTATTCATCTGCATTACCTTTTTCAACTGGACATAAAATTTAATTAGTAAAGGAAGTTGGTTTTTCTGTTGTTGTTTTTTTTTCTTCTCATCTGTCTTGATGCTGAAAAGGAAGATGGAAATAGAAAGCAGGAAATTCCTAAGTATAAGAAAACATGTGGAACAGTATTTGAAATGTAGAGAGAACCCTGAGTCACTGATAATAGGAGAGCTAAACAAAGACATATGATTTTATCGCTGTTAGGTATATTTAAGAACCAAGGACAGAAAGTGAAGGTTGATGGTTTGACCTAGCAATTTCATTTTTGTCTCCAGATTAATTTGCGTGCCAACTCGGAACATGCCAAGAAGCTTCCTGGGTTTTCTACATGACATAGGAAGCTGTTTGTGTAATGGTGAGGAGAGCTTTGTAATCCTAGCCCCACAAAGCTCCTTGTTGGTTTTGTTGCGAGTCATTGAAACGGTTTGAAAGGATCCAGGGAACATGGACTAAAAGGGTTTGACCTTATATTTCAAGTATGGAAATGTACCTGATATCTTTTCTTTTAGGAAACATTAAGAATTAGTATTATGACAATATCATGATCTGAAGTCTTTCACCTCACTTGAATGACAAATGTCTTCAGTTCTTAATTCTATTCCAAGGAAACAATGTCATGCTCTTTAGTTCTTGGTTTCATTCTTATCAAACATCTAATTGGTTTGTAGGCTTCTATTTTGAAGAAGTGTGCAGGCCAGCCATTAAACTCCTTCACTAGAAACTCTGCTCCTGATTTCACCATGGTCATACGTTCAGCCTTCTCATCCTGGAAGGTCGCTGGTACTCAACAGCCTTTCTTACCTTGTACGATTCTTCTACCCCTGCAGCCTACTCCTCCTTTGATTGGTATAAACTTCAGTGAATGCCACTAAATCCACACTAGGGAGAAACACCATAAATGTAATGAATGTGGGAAAAGTTTTAGCAGCAGCTCAAATTTCATGAAGCATAAAATTTTGCAGGAAAGAATTCTTGTAAGTGTGGTAAATAGGACAGCCTTGTATTATAACTCAAACATTCTTCAGAATCAAAGAACCTATATGAGAGATGCCATAAATATAATGAGTATGGAAAACACTTTATTATGACCTCTGTTCTTGTTAATAATTGGAGAATTCAAGCTGGATAAAAGTCTTGGGAATATGTAAAATGTAGGAAAGTTTCCTTAAAGAAGAAACTCTGTACCAAGAAATACCTATTGAAGAGAAAAGCACACAAATGGAATGTGGGAAAAGCTTCAAATGCACCTCTGGCCTTCAACAACATCAGAGAATCATGATCAAGAAAGTCCTTTTGAATATGATATATGGAAAAATTTTATTTGGGGTTCAGATCTTAATAAACATCAAATAATCCATTTGAGAGATATGTTTACTAGTAAATATGATTTTATTAAATGAGAGAAAGTCAACCACTGTAGATTTATTCTATAGGCTTTTGATCTTTCTCATTTCTTGCCTCTGAACCCTTTCTACTTGCTGTACTCTCAAAGAGGAAAAGGTGTCCCCAAACCCATCAGCAAAGTCACCTTGCACCAGAACATGGCAGTCTAAGGTAGACTGAGGAGTGGTTAGACAGTGAAGAAAGAGTGTCCAGGAAGAGACGGGAGGTTTACAGTGTCAGATGTTGTAGAGATCAAGAAGGATAAAGATTGAGAAAAGGGCATCAGTTTTGGCAATTAAGAGATCACTGGTAACTTTGACAAGAACAGTTTCATTTAAGTGATGACATTGAAAGTCAGACTGCAGATGGTTGAGAAGGAGATGAAAAAAGAGGAAGTAGGGTATCAAGGGGATTTTCCAGGAGTTTGTGTGAAAATGAGAGATATAGAAGAAATTAGTGCCGTCTAGTGAAATTTAGTTTTAAGAAAGGGGATGACTTGGGCCTGTTTGTTGCTGTAAGGAAGGAACCAAAGGATAGTGAAAAAATGAAGATTAGAGAGAGAAGGGACAATTGCCAGGGCAACTCATTCTATCCTCGGAGAGCTTGAATTCTTAGGAAGTTATTTCCTTATATTATTTCATGGAGTGAAAAAAAAATAACTGATGTGGAGAATTTATGGGGAGAGCTGCATAGGATAGGTAGTCATGGTTGTAGTGTGTATCTTGGAGGGAACTTCCAATCCATGAGAAAGTATAGAGTTGAGTGTTCATAAGATACAAGTGAGCTGAAATCTACCTCCTTGTAATTAGTCCTATTTTTGACCTTTGGGGTCAAGGAGAACAAATCCAATCTCTCTTATATCTTTTACATCTTTGAAGTAAGTTAGTGAATATAAATAATTTTGTTAACTATAAAACTGCTACACAGATGTGAACTCCTATTATAATTACTGGACAAAAAATTTAGGCCAAATAACTGCTTCCCTAGGAGTGAAATGAGAACCTTTCTTTTATTTCTTCAGTGTGACCCGACAATTAACTGACAATTAACAGCAATCACTATGGAGCAACTGAGCCATCGCACTACCCCCACGTCTGAAGGGGCTAATGAATTCAAAACACAGTCATCATCGGGACGCAGGGTTTGAACACGCTACGTAAAAAGAGCTTGCCCAATAAGCAGAACAGGGACTGTGCTAAGACTTGAGGCACGCGGACCATCCGCCCCGCCAGGGCAGGAGGGGGCCCGGCTGCCTCCCCAGCCCCGGCCGTCCCGCCACCCGTCTCGCGCCCACGTGGCTCCAGCGGGCAGTCAATCTGGAGGCTTCCCTTTCCCACTTCCAAGATGGGGGCGGCGGCGGCGTCTGGGGGGGGCGGGATCGGGGCGGGACCACAGCCGCATCACGCGCCTGCCCAGTAGCCTATGGGCTTTGTCCGCTGCGCCGACGGGCGCGGGAGGCGGAAGTGTTAATTGCTCGCCGGCTTCATCGGCCGGAGCCCCTGCCAGTTACATAACAACGCCCGCACCGGCTGTGGCTGCTTTCCCTGCGACGCTACGTCGCCCCCAGGATGCTCTAGAAGCTCCCCCTTCCCGGCCGCCGGCTCCCCAACAAGGTGAGATCCGCCGAGATGGTGGGGACGGTGGGGGAGGGGGCCCAGCCTGGACGGGGGGAGGGACGGAAGCGGCTGCGATGGGGGTTGGGATTGGGGATGGAGGACTGCCTGGGGGAGGCGGCGAGGAGGAAGGGGTCGGGGATGGCTGGAGGGAGGAAGGAAAAGAGGGGGGCTTGGGGGATGAGCGGGGAAGTGGCAGCGGGCTTCTGAGAGTGGCAGGAGGATGGGGAGACATCTGGGGGGGGCCGGGGTGTGAAATGGGGATGGAGGCTGGGGGTCTGGCTTAAGGAGGAGTCCAGCTGTCACTGGAAAGGGGCGGGGAATCCCCGTCCCGGCTGGTGGTCGATGATGACCTTTCACCCCTCACGCCTCACAAAGCACTGTGCCTGCCCCCCTCCTGCGCTCATCCCGGGGGATTCATTCCCATTCCAGTTATTTGTGTGTCAGACCTCAACCCATTTAGAGGCAGAAACTGCCGTCATCCAAGCTTTGTGTTTCCTCTGGTGCCTAGCTCGGTGTTCTGCACATAGTAGGAATTTAATAAACGTTGGTTGAATTGAAGTGATTAAATGGGAGATTATTGGGGGTCGGGAGGGGGAGGATAAGGAGAGAAGTCTGTGACGGTGGGGAGAGGTCATTCTGAGAGCATCGGAGCGCTGGGTTCCAGTCACAGGTTGGATCCCTGGGTCTGAAAGGGCTGAGGGGGAAAGCTTGCTATGGAAGCCGAGGGTAAGAGGAAGCTAGAGTGGGCATTTATGTTTCTGCGGAATCCTGAAAGTTGGGGATCTCTTTTGGAGAAAGTGAATTGTTTGTTCCAGTGCATTTAGGGGCCGGTTAAAGGTTCACGTTGGTAGCTACCACAGGAATCTAATGCCAGTCCAGAATCTTGTTTTTTACTGTCGTTCTGTTGAATAGAGAATGTACTTCTGTAATTGGGGATGGTACAGGAGGAATAGGATACTGTCCAAGTAAATTAAAACTTTTTAGTGAAATAAATGAATAGAATTAAGGACCTGATTACTAGAACAGATCTGATCTTTTTTTTTTTTTTTTGTGCAGGTGAGATTATATCATGTTTTTGAAAAGAAAGATCCTTATTACAACTACAGTCTGATATTGAAGCAGTAGAATTGTTTGTGAAACTTAAAACGAGATGGGAATTCAAACCCTGTAGATTGTAGTCCTGCTTCTGCTACCTGCCATGGATCTGTTTCACCAGATAATCTGTAAACATTCAGAATGAAGTGTTTTCTGGTAATGGACAGACCATGATGAGAGAATGTCAAAAGAACAAGAAAACACTCTCTTTCCTAGCTCAATATGTATTTTTACCTTTGGAAATAGAATCCCTTAGTCTTCATATCTAATTAAAATTTTTTTATTGATGCTTTTTATTTTTACATAGTAGTAATTTATTTAACTGCTCACCTTTCCCCACCACTTTCAGATTAAAGTGTTCCGTGTAACAAGAAAAACAATTATGCAAAATCATCCTGTACTAGAGTAAGCAAGATCTGTCAACGTTCTACCCTATTAACTTGTTTTACTCCTTTCCCCTCCCTTAATGTTTCTTTATTCTGTCAGACTTTTGTTTTAGCTACTCAGTTTGTCTTATTTTTAATGATCTTTTGAATTAACATTGTGATAGTTATTTTATATGTTCTCTTTCTGGCTAATTTTGAGATTTGCTGGAAGGGCTTGCCTGATTGCTAGAATTTTAGGTACTTACTGATGAAAGTAGTACATTGTATTTCTAAGGGAACAGAGGGAGACCTGAAATTCATCAGAAGTTTTCTTTGTCAGCTCATGTAAAAGATCTCGAGGAGGCATGTGGTAGAAGGCAAGAGAGGGTTGAAATCAAAGTGTCGTGGAAAAATATTAGGAGTCATAGAACCATTCTAGGTTTGGCCCTAATGAAATGTTTGATGTTCGGCAAATATTTTACCTCTGTGAACCTGAGTTTCCTCACCTGAAAAATAAGGGGCTTGAACTCGACCAGGGGTGCGGCCTCGAGGTTCTAAGAGGCAGGTTCCCCACCCCTGAACTACACTATTTGGAGGGACCTATGTTTTCAGGCAATAGAATTTCCTTGTCTTTGAGAAGATAAGACTTTATTCCACTATAAACATGAAAAAGAACTGCCATATAGACTTGTTTCCTCTGCCAAGTTCTTAGGCAGTATTATTTTACGAATTTCTTGTTCTCTTGGTTTATACCAGATTTAATAGAGTAAGTTCATTCAGTGTAATGGTATTTAATCTGATATTTGCAAAGAGAAACTGGAATGCCTGATGATAGCAAATTTAAACTGTATCTATTAAGAAGGGTTCATTTATTCCAAGTGGTATGGACATAAAGCCTATCTGCTTTGATTCTTAACAGACTGGGCAGAAAAACAAATGTGGCTCCTAAGACTCAGCCTGTAGAAATAGCACAACTAATGGGACATTGTTTCTGATAGAGGCATGTGAGTATTGGAAGTGTTGAGGCTTTTGAATGGCATTGATCCAAAAGGAATTTGAAAGGAAACAGTACATAAAGGAAAAATAAAAATGTTTTAATCATATTGAACTCACTTTGAGAATACAGAGCCAACAATAATAACTGACATTTTGTGGCACTTCACGTGTATTAAATATTTACCCACAGAGCTAGTTAGTGGTAGAGCCTGGAATGAAGCTTAAGTCTTCTGACTTCGTCTAAAAAGTGTAATGTACGCCTTTGAGGTCATGCAATAAATCCATTAAAGTCCATTAGGAAGCTAATTGCAATTCTGATTATTAGAAGCCATGAAACTGATATATCAACTCCCCTTTCTATAGCGCTTTACAGAGGATTTCTTTCTAATAAATCTCAGAGAGACCAAGTGAATTGTCCAGGGTCGCTCAGAGTTAGTAAGTGTCAGAGCTGGCACTCAAACCAGTGCTTCTGATTCAGAATCCAGGGCATTTCCCACTATACCAACCTCTGTCTGTTCTATCAGATGAGGTATATTAAATTCAGTAATCTTTCCAGATGAACAGATTTGTCCCCAATAAAACAGAATTCAAAGCTGGCAGAAAATTTAATACATCTATCCTAACACTCTTCATTTTACAAATGTAAAAATTGAGGCAGAGAGGGGTTAAGGGACTTGCCCAAGGTTATTACAGATAGTAAGCAGCAGAGCTAGGATTTGAACTCAGGTCCTCTGACTTCAACTCTAATAGTTTCCCCACTGCATTATTCTGTCAAGAAATTACTACTTTCTGTTACTGCCTTTCCCATGTATTGGTTGTACCCTGCTCTGGAATTTTTTATCAGCTGAAGTGAAAGCAAAGAAAATTATGTTCTCTAAGAAAAGTAGTCCAAATGGTCCCCTAATTTATTGACCTTGGAATATCTCAACAAGGGTCTCAAACATAAAGACATAGCCCCTACCCAGTGCTGCCCTGCCTAGCATCATTTTTCAATAACATCATTACTATATGATGACTAAATCCAGTTGTCTTGAAATTTTGGAATAGCATGATTTAGCCAGTTTCCAAGATGCAAGCCAGATGTTTAGTGACAGTGTGAGTGAGTGCTTGAGCCTCAGTATAAGAGTTCCTGTATTGCTTACTGTCATCTCCATTGTTGTCATGAAACTAGCTGCCCTCCGATGTTGTTTTGACCAAACAGCATGTTTTTATGAAGCCAGTTGACAACAGTTTGCCTTTAAACCTTTATAGGCAGGTAACAAGGTCAGAGTAAGATCTAGTTTTAGTATCTCCCCTACATCGTTATAATTCTAAGACCAAGGGCTTACATCTTAGACAGTGGGAGAGATACACAGTGCTCTGCAAATAGCGAGTGCTTAATAAAGGGTAATTGAGTACGTCTCTAGAATTTGTCCATTTTTTTTAAACCCAGGTTACAGATTTTTGTCTGTGCCAATTGTAACTTGACATAAATTTGGCATGGTGTTTATTTTAGACACCCTCCCACATGGAAGATAGTAAATAGCCGTTCATGGTGACATCTTTGGCTATAATACATAAAAGCTGCTTAGCAACAGTATGTTTATGACTGACTAGATGTGAAAAATTCTCATCTGTAGTGAGAATTTACTATGGTAAAATATAGTTATGCTTAAATTAGGATTTGACTAGACTGCAAAGCATTATGCCGTTCTTGCTGAGTGTCTAGTTTTATCTGTAGTAATGATATCAACTTTACTGCATCTTTATATATCTCAGGATAAATCTGTGCATGTAATAGTGAAAACAGTTTGTGACATTGACCCCCAAAATTTCTCATACATCTCATTGATGATGACAGCTGTCTGTTTCCCAATCCCTTTCTGTATCGCTGCTACCTGTGTGCAAAGGGTAATATGGAATCAGTAGTTATTATCTTCACATTAGGATAATTTTGCCTTGGATTCTGGAGTTCTAAGTCACAGAGCAAGTTATTGGGCTTTTAGGAGATAGAACCCTGAGCAGAGTTTGGAAGGAGGAAAATCACACGGTTGGGGAAGAGTGAAAGGAAGCTTCAAGTAGTGGCTGAGAACTTGGAGTGGTAGCATACAAAAGGTATGTAACTGATGGTAAATACGTTTCTCAAGTATTAGAGTATGTGAACAGGAGGGATTAGTGGGGAGCCATGAAGGTTTTTGAGCATATTAGAGCTGAAGAGAACCTCAAGTATCATCTAGTCCAATCCTCTCACGTTCCAGGCGAGAGAGCAGACACCCAGAGAAGTCATTTGCTTGTGGTCACATAGCTTGGAAATAACAGCACTGGTATAGAGCTCAGTTCTTGTGACTTGATAAGTTGGGTCTTCTTTTCACTAAGCTACTCTTCCTCCCAGTGAAACAGTCATAGTGGTAGTGATATATTTAAAAGGATTACCTGTGCATTGGTTTGATACACAGTTTGGAGATGGGAGAAATTGGGGCAAAAACTCTATTTAGGAGGCTATTATTTGTATAGCTAAGAAGAGCTAAGAAGTGAAGGTCTGAACCCAGTGCCTGACACATA